TGATGCATCAAAAGTTCATGTGAGATGGTACGTATGTCAGTTGCTAAATGCTTCAGCTCTTGAAGTGCAGGAAACTACCTGTTGGCATCGATGAGAAGGTTGGTGCCATAGGCCCCGCTCGGCTGCTGGCTGATACTTACCAGAATCAGCCGCACCAGCTGGATTCTTTCCCAGCTTCAACCGAACTGCAACAGAGGCTATTTGAATTCAAAAAAATAGCGGCAAAGGCAATATTTATTGCAATTCAAACACAAGCCAGCAGCCCATTACAGCCCTTACAACATTCAAATGAATTGAAACAACAACAATGCAAACTCATGGATGTTCTCCATGACAGCACTTACATCATTCAAATATATTTCACATGGCAACTACTCAATACAACAAGTTCAATACAACACCAGGATTACAAGTACCAGGATTACAAGCAACAGGTCCAGCTTCCTGCAGCAGCACAATCTGGAGACAAAAGTTAGAAGCATTTTCAAGCAGAGCAAAACTCAGGGCATTAGTAGATCCATGTGAAGCAAAAACCGATCACAGGCATCTCCTTGCAACCATCATCTGCTCCCTGTGCACCATGTCAGCACTTTCTTCACCTACATGTGTACATATCCTCATTAGCCCCAAACTAGGCAGCTAAAGGAAATGTGCATGACTTCACTGATAACATCCAAAACCATAATTGTTTCACTTACGTTGTCTTCCCAAGGAGTCCAAGTCCATATGTTATCCAGTCGCGGACCTATTCCATATCATTAGGATCTCCCAACGCCATAGCTGACACTTGACTCAAAGGCCCAAGGTCTGGCGCCTACCTGAACCTCCCTGGTTGGTGCTGACCCTCCAGCTCATGCACGTAGTTGTGCAGTGCATAAAGAGCAATAATTATCTAGGTTTGTTTGGTACCCGGATAGTGAGGTACGTCTTTCAACATCTACCACTTAGCTTTCGCTGCCCCAAATGTCCTTTCTATGACATTATGCAACTTGGAATGGTGCCGGTTGAACAACTCCTGCGCATCACAAGCCCCCTAGTCTGGAACTCCTTCACCCAGTACCTCTTATTTGGATACGGCGTCAGATATCCGGGGCGAAGTGCGTAACCGGAGTCCACCAAGTAATAGCGGCCTACATAAATTCATAGCAAGACATCAGTTCAAATACAATTAGCTCCAGCATAAAACCTTTGCATCAATACATCAACCAATCGGACTAAGTAAAACTAACCTGATGATGGACGTGGGAAAGAGGCATCGTCTTCTGCGTTTCTTTTTACCCGCATATCATGAGCTGAACCCTCTGTCCCCGCCTCGATATACGTGAACCTCATGTCGAAGTCACAGACCGCAACCACATTTTCGGTTGTCTTCCCTTTCCTATTAATATGATTATCACGTACTCCTTGATCAACTATCAGATCTATGTGAGTGCCATCCATGGCGCCTATGCAGCCATCAAAAAACGGCGTGTACTCCAACAATTCAGCCGGCAAGACTGAATAAGTGGTGTCCCTAGGCCTAAGCACGTCATCTGCAAATCTAGTCATAGCTGCCAGAACATGGGAAAATACCTTGCTACATGTCCCCAACCCCCTCCTAAATCTCTCATGCATTTTCCTCTGACATTGATTTGTACTACATGCCCACAGAAACATGGCTAAAGCTTCAATGGATTCAAGCTCCCTACTGCCTTTTAGCCCATAGCTGTCACGTAGTATGCTATGCAACCTAATCAAAATTTTAGGCCGCATTCGGCAGTTTTCAAAGCACCTATCAGCATCTGACAACAGCTTATCTACCCACTGTCTTCCGGTAAGGTCAGGCACATAGATAACATGGTTACCTTATGGTGGTACCTGCAGCATGTACACAAATGCATAGCCTCCAGCCATAGCTGCAGCAACCATCATCGTTGAAACTATTTTCACTTGAATTTTGACTGTCCTCGTCGCTGTTGTCCATGTTCCAATAGGCTGCCAAGAAAAAATATAAATCAATGTGGTTAACTAAATTCCAACAATACATTAAGCATAACTTGTGAATACAATTTGCATACACACCTTCAGGCTCGCCGGGAACTGATGACCCCTTCAATCAGTCCCACAGGTACCTGCAACACAATCACCATGTTATGATTTGTTGAAATAGACAACACTTATAGCATCTGTTAACAATAAAATATTTGTTAGCTTCAACAACCAAATAATGTCAGGTAGCTCAAACAAATGCATCGCATCACACAACTTATAACGAGTTTGGGAAAAAGAATACGACACATGGTTTTGGCCACGGGCCCCATTACAAGACAGAAACATCAACATAACTAGGACAACAATGAATGTAAAGAATACAAGACGACACTCAAATGCCATCGTTGCTTCACACCAAACTTAACATCCCAGCTGCTGAACTACTTATTGTTCCTGTTCACGTGATATGTCAGCTAAGCCATACATTCTTCAGCTATCAGTAGATTCTTGAACACCCGTCGGGTCACTGAGTCCTTGAACAACACCGTTGCCAAGAAGAACATGTCTGAAGTGGATGGCACACCATCTTCTCGTAAAAGTTGCATAGCTTCGTCAACCTCGGCCTGTTCACGGGTCCGCTCTCTATCCCATGATGTGCTCCTTGCAACAATGCTCTCAGACAACCGGGCCATGTACTCCCCCACACTGCAAGTCTTCTTCTTCTCTGGGCTATTGACAACATTGTCTATGGTGTTCCTCTTCGAACCAGAATGGTAGCTGGATGGCCCATCTAAGTCTATTGGACGCAAAGCAGCAGGAGGCGTTGACTCACGAATACCACCAGTGGACATGAAGCAGCCCGTGTTCCGGTTGTGGTCCAATGGACAGAATTGTGTACTTGCCTTGATTCTCACTTCAAGCGCTTGGAACGCAAGTTGTACCGAGGGGCTTCCGGCGGGGAGTAGGAAACTGTTGAAGACGGTGCCAGTATATAGACTTAGAAAGACCACACCTACATGATAAACATGCGAATCTGTCAGAGCTATATGTATACCAAAGTAATCCCACCTCAATGTCTAAATTCAGAATAGAAACTATACGTGTACTGTACTAACAACAGATTATAGGAGTAATAAAAGAAGTAACCTAATCACTGAAATTAAAATGCATTTCATCAACGCAATGAACTAGTGTATCTGTATGTAATAGAATTTTCAAACAGACCAGCATGCCAGAACTCCAATGTAGACTTCGATGTTCAAAATAAACTGATGTCATGACTGTATTTGTATAGGAAGAACACCGTGACAAATATGAATACCCATACATCCAGCATTGGTTAATATATCGAAATTTTGAGATACGGGGAGAATTTGGCATGAACCAAATGTAGTTACATCACAAGTAGCATCAAATCACCCTAAAGTTTAGTAATGTGACGAACAATAAGAAATTTGAAACAACCCGAGGAACACCATGTGATTCATTCATTGATGCATTATTCATAAGCCGTAAGCTGAACTGGCAGAGTTTCAGGCATACGACCCATCCAACATTGGACTACATGAGAAACCAGGGGAGCCAAGTCTAAATAAAAACAGTAAAAAATAATGGAGTTTATGCTAACCCTAAATGAACGGATGTGCAAGGACTATGTTTCCCTAATAATCCGTCTCTACTTAGGCATCCACACCTGGGAACAGAAACCTCAACCCTAACAAAGCGGATCTGGAAGTGTGTAGCAAAAATGGGATAGAAAAAGACGGGAACATACCGAAAATGGCGTTGCAGGGAGGGCAGAAGCAGGAGAAGGTGACGGATCTGGTGGCTTGGAAGGCGGCGTCCGCGGTGCCAGCTGAAATAGAAGTAGGGAAGCAAGGATTTGTAAACCCTAACAGCAGGGATGGTCACCGACCAACGATTAAGGGGAAGGCGTGGAGTGGACCACATACCCGAAAGGGCGGATCTCCCGCCGGCGGCGACGGATCGGCTGGATCTGCTTGGCAAGACGGCGATGACGAAGCGGTGACTCGGAGAAGGCGACGCCGAACCAAATCCGGCGAGACGCCCCGTGTGGATGTCGCCTTCCTTCTCAGGCCCAAGGGATGGGAGGGGTTTAGGACGGAGGCCGTCCGGCGGTGATGCGGGATTAACGGCGCAGGCGAAGAAATCACCTCGGCAGCGTGGGCGAAGAAGTCACCTCGAGGATAGCTAGGAGCGGCGGAACCCTAAGCGCGCGACCGAATGCGAGACGGGAGAGTGAGTGAGGATGGCGGCAACTGGGCCTTCTAGAGCAGCCGAACGCTGGTGTTCGCCTAGGCCACGAGGCCCAACTAGCTCCGGCCAGTTTCAGCGACCAAATCGAGCAGCCGAACGGGGCCATAGCAAATAAATGTTGATATGGACCCTTGAGAAGCCATGAGCATGGAATCACTGCAAGCGATTCATCTACCCTGTGTAGCATTTTTCTGACGGCCAATAAAAACAAAATAAAGTCTACGTGGATATATTGGGAGGTCGCCTAGACGGCCTGGCCTCATACTTTTGATATTCCAACCAACAAAACTCGAATTTAACAAGTTGGGTTAAGCTTAGCACATCAACCAAACAAGAAGGCTTCGTTTTTATGTAGTCAAGTATAACCATGGCTAGGTTTTAGCTAGGTTAGAACTTAACCAATAAACCGATCATCTCTAATAAAACGTGTACAAACTGCTGTGAGCGGTGAGCCTGGGACACGCATGTAGGGGTAAAACGGTAAATCATCAAATTGGTGCACGAGCACGAAAATTACCCGTTTGCCATTCGATACATACATTGCTGCACACGCCGCCGCGGCACCGGGCCACCGCCGCACTCAATTGTTCACCCAAATTCAAATCCCATCCAGAAATTCTCAGAGCAACGAGCGCCGCTTCTCTTCCCTCCTCCGCCTCCCTCCAAAACTCAAATCAGCCTAGCGAAAAGCCGAAGAGGCGAAGAGCGATAGCGAACCTCCCCCACATCGATTCCCCAAATCGCCTGGCGCGATGACCACGGTATGTCGACCCATTCGATCCTCGATTTCTCTTCTGCTGTCTCCTCTTCTCCGTCTCCGTCGATCATCTCCGGCGAGGTTAGGGAGACGGGTTGTCTGACGAGGTTACGGAGGGGGATTGCCCGGCAAGTAAGCTTGGGGAGGTGGGCTGTCTGGCGAGGTTGGGGGAGGCGGGTTTGGGACTGGAATCCGGTTGGGCTAGAGGGGGGTCATCGGCGGCTGAGGTGAATCGACTGCAGAGGATCTCAATCCGCCCGGCGGAGGTGGCGGGCGCGGGGCGGGGGCATCACGACTCGATGAATTAGCGCGGCGACGGGAGACGGCAGCGGATCCGGCTGCGCGGGGGCGAGGGCACGGGGAACACCCCCTGATTCCTCTGCATCGCTCGAGAAATTCATGATTGGCTTCCTGGATTCGATGTGATTATGAGTTACGCACGGTAACGGTACGGTTGGTGCAGGCAGGAGAGATGGATTCGACGGCAGGCGGCGAGGACCTGGAGCCGCTCTTCGACTACAAGCGAGTGCAGCCCAGGATGACCTTCTCCTTCGACGGTACGCATCGCGTCGCTCTCCGTGGACTTGAGTTTCCTTTGGGCGAGTAGCTTAGGATTTGCCGGTTTCGATGTGCAGACAGCGACCTGGAGGCGGCCGACATCTTCAAGCACTGCAACAAGCGCCCCAAGGTCCACGCCACCACGGTGAGTGCGCCCGAGTTTGGTTCCGATTTGGCGACTTGTTTTGTTCTCGAGTTTTGATGTACTGTTACTGGCCCGTGTTCATTAGGAGAAGGAGGAGAGTAAGCCAGATGAGGAGGCTGCCGCCCCCAAGGTGGTGGTCCTCGACGAGGAGGATTGGTTGCAGCCCCCGCCGCCCAAGGCCGCATTCAGGGCCCCGGCAGAGGAGGATAGTACGTTTCGTGAACTGAGGTATATTTCAATAATACTTTCTCTATACCTGTCCTATCTAAATCAGAATGCATTGCAAGGGGAAGATGATCATGTTTTTTCCATCAGCATCCTTCCAAAACATGGAAAGAATTGCAGAGAATATGTTTTACTCTGACTCTAAAATATGTTTTACTCAGAATGAGTTTAGAGTATTGAATGAAATTTGCTCAGAATGCCTTTTACTCTTAGGGTAAAGTTTATTTTTCACCCTCAAACTTGCGCGATAGTCTGATTTTCAACCTTGAACTATGAAACTGGGTGACACACCCTCCAACTGTTGAAACCTGACAAATTTGGTCCTCTGGCTGGGTTTTAAGGTAGTTTTCTATTTTCTAATAATAATAAAAGTCTGGTTTGGTCTCTAGAAATTCATAACCAATTTATTTGAAATCATACAAATATGAAACTAGTTCCAGTTTTCTTCTAAAAAGGGTTCAATCCCCATTTCGTTTCTCACATGCCAAAGACCCCAAAGAATACCTGAAAAACATAAACAACTTTATGTGATAATCATTGCACTCCAAGGGTATCCAGTTTTTTTAACACATCTTGAATGCTTCCTGCGAATCTATCCCAGCCCAGTGCTTCTTTAAAGCATGCCCAAATTACTTTTGCCACATGGCAATGAAAGAAGATATGATTACAGGTTTTGATTCACCCCACATAGACAGCAGTTTTTGTTACCTTTTCCCTTTTTTTCTTGAGATTCATTTCTGTTTGTATTCTATCTTGTATTACTAACCACATAAACACCCTTACCTTTGTTGGCATTTTATTTTTCCACATCTTAACCATTCTCCTGTTAACACCCCTCTGAAAGTCAACTTTCGGGACATAGATCTTGTGCTATACTAACCTGACTTCTCTAGAACTTATCCTCTCCTTCATTAAGCTCAAAGTTATCCAACTGATCCATTAATCTCTCCCATCCATTCATTTCATTCCTCCAACTCCTATTCTGAAACGTACATTCCAGCCATCACCTTCTCAGTAATCATTGACCAAACATGATTTGTCTTCACAAATATTGTAGAGAGATGGAAATTCTAGTTTCATAGGTATGCCACCTGCCCAAACATCCTCCCAAAAGAGATTATTTTTCCCATGATTCATTTCAGCCCTGCAGTCCCATTTCAGAATACCCCTGGTTCTTAGAATACCCTTCCAGAACTGGGACCCCCCCACCTCCACCCCCACCTGCTGCTATACTGAGCAAAAAGACTTATTCTTCAAGTATTTCTTTTTTCAATAGGTTATAGCAAAGATCGTCTTTGTTGGCTCTGAGCATTCTCCATGCCCATTTGCCCAATAAAGCCTTATTCATTGATCTTGTATCCATGATCCCCATACCCCCAAAGTCCTTGGGGAGGCATAGGTTCTCCCATTTCATCATATGGTATTTAAACTTATCATCTGCACCCTGCCAGAAAAACTTTGCTCTGATGGTGTCCATTAGTTGGTGAATGACTTCGTTTAATCTGTACATCCCCCATTGGATAGATTGGTAAACTGCTCAATCAAGTATTAGTAAGAATCAGCCTATAGAGAACACTGATGTACAATTCAAATGGACTCTTGTGTATAATGTGTCTTTGAAACATGCTTTGGCATTCTAATCATACCTGTTTTCATGTTCATAGATTTGGCATCAGAATATTGCTGTTGCTGCCAACTTAACCATTACCTAATTTGCACAAAATGCAGGTTGAAGAAACAGGAGTGGGCAAAATTTGCTGAGTCAGCTCAGGATATATTGCAAAAGATGGACGCAATCACCAACAAAGAAGTTGGTCCAAAGGAACCACCTGAACAAATAATTCTGGATGAGGAGTCTGAACCTCCAGTCCAGAAAGCAAGGGAAAAGATTGTCATATCAATTCAGGACAAGGATGGGCATCAACAGATGCGTGTATACAAGGTTATATTAATCTTTTTGGCATGGACTACCATTGCTACTGTCAATAATTCAGCCCTCCCTTCCAAAAAAAGAATGTCATCCTAGGTTTGGATTAAGTCAAACTTTCTTAAATTTGATCATGTTTATAGAAAATAGTACCAATATTTGTACATCAACGAGGTCTACTGTGAAAATATATTTTATTATATATATCTAATGATACTTATTACGGATCATAAATATTAGTTTTTTGTTTTTTGTATATAACCAGTCAAAGTAAAGATAAATTGACTCAAACATTCTTTTTGGGATGGGGTGAGTATATGACTTTGAATACTAATTACAGGGGCATATGCAACTTTGGTTCAATAATTCAGGCTCTCCAATGTATTGTCACATAATTTGATCTACTCTGGATTTTAATTAATGTTCATTCAATTTCATTGAACTAATGTAGTAGTTATGAGCCTACTTCTCCTTGGGTTTCTGAAGCTTGACTCCAAGAGTAGTGCAAAACGTGTATGGGCCTGATTATTATTTTTCGCATTAGAAATTAGAATAGTGCAAAGTGAAAGAGTATGATTTTTTTTCTGCAAATGTTGTTATATTTGACTTCTAGTTGACATGAAGACCTAAACAACCTCGTGTTTATTATATAACTGCTACAGGACGAGAAGTTTGACAAGCTTCTCAAGGTGTACGCCAAGAAGACAAAGCTGAACCCATCTGATTTGTATTTTGTATTTGATGGTGAGAAGATTAACCCATCATCTACACCTCAGGACCTTGATCTTGAGGATGAAGACATGATTGAGGTGCGCCGTAAGCGGAGTTGAGGCCATCCTCGATATATGCAGTTTTAGATAAAGTCAGCCCTTTTGCTGTCTTCTTTTGCTGCCAAAGGCTTATTTGTCTATAGTCTATATAGCAAAGACATGTCAGGTCATATTGATATATGCAGTTTTAGACAAACTCAGCCGCTTTGCTATCTTCTTTTGCTTCCAAAGGCTTATTTGTCTATATAGCAAAGACATGTAAGGTCATCTTGATATATGCAGTTTTAGACAAACTCAGCCCTTTTGCTATCTTCTTTTGCTTCCAAAGGCTTATTTGTCTATATAGCAAAGACATGAGGTAATTCGTGTGCAGTATCAAGAACCGCAGGTTCCCGTCGTTCTGTTCTTTGATTGGGTATTGTGTGATGTCGTAAGAACTGCCTGAAACCCTCGAGATATACTGCAGCTGCACATGTGGGTTTGGTTGGCAAGAGCCATCTGCAGAAATGCCAGAGCACCCTCGTTTGTGGAAAGCTGCATGCCGGAATCGGAGTGGGAGGGTTTGGCATGGGTGACCTGCTGGTGGTGGTTTGGCAGTGGTGCTGTTGGAGTGTAGTAACCCTTATTCTAGACGATGCGCTTACCGCTGATGTCAAGTTTTGCAAGTTGCAACTAGCCGTCAGCTGTGACCTGAGAGGAGACTGGGTGCGGCAGAGTTACCAGTCAGTCAGCGCTAGGGATGAAAACAGTCGGAACAAGCATAAATTGCTCTCTTTACATTTTTCATGGAAATGAAATCGAAATTGATACGGTAATGCTCCGAGGAGGACGTTCATCCGAGCGTGTTCGTCCAGACGCCCCTGTTCCTGGGCCTGCATTGATTGGTCCTAACAGGCAACGCGCGGTTCTTCCACTCCGAACTTTATTACTACTCGCAACCGCTACCGCTTTCACCGCGTCAGCCCGCCCGCAGCGGCCGCTTCCACTGTGCCATCCTCCCGTAGCGGTCACTATGCGCCGTCCGACCGCCTACTCTGCTTTGCCGCCGCGTCCCATCCCGCGCCGCGCGGGGCGTCCACCGCCGCGACCCATCCACCTCGCTCGTTGCGGCCATGGCATGCACCGCGCCACTACCACCTGGCACCACCAGGAGGAGGTCGCCGGCCATTGCTCTCGACGTCTCATTAAACCCGAGTTTGCTAGCTACCGTAGTCCCCCACCAGGTAGGTCATGGCTGTCGGCAACACCGTATTTCAAGTGTTTATGGTGTTTCAGACTTATGTTTCAAGTGTTTCATTTAGATGTTGTAAAAGTAGATCTGGATATTTCATATGTTGCAATGACAATATACGCATGTTTCAAGCCTATGTTCAAAGTGTTTCAGACGTATGTTTCAAGTGTTCCATGTCGATGTTGCATATGTTACTATGGCTGTTTCACGTATTTGTTTTCAAGTGTTTCAGACATACGTTGCAAAAGTGGATCTGGATGTTGCATATGTTGTTATTGCTATACGCGCATGTTTCAAATGTTTCACCAGTTTCAGTTTCAGATGTATGTTGCAAATGTTTCATCTTTATGTTTTAAAGTAGATTGGGTGTTGCACATGTTGCAATGGGCGTTGGTGGCTGGCGGACAGCGGCTTGCCGCAGCTGCCTGGTGCTGCTGCCGGGGCGCCGCCGTGGTTCACGTGCAGGTGCATAATGTGCGCGGCAGGCCTGGTGTGCTACCCCTTCGAGCGAGATTTGGCGCGGCGCGTGTGTTGGGCGCGGGTGTGGGAGCTGTGTCCAGACGAACGCCGCGTCCGGGCGTCCAGGCGCTAGTCGTCCCGAAACTAATATTGCCAGAAACGATCAAGGTGCTGGTATTATGGGAGCCATTTTTTTGGGAATGGTATTATGGGAACTTCAGAAGCTAGACAATCTGATAAAAAAGTATGTCGATATTGATCTATAATATATATTAGGCATATATTATTGTTTATCATCGGCTGATTGGTTGATGGTCAAATTTGGTTGCAAAACTTAGACAAGCCAAGATTTTAAAAGCTATTTATTTTGCTACCCAAATTTACTAATATCTCACAACTGACATGGCAAATCTATGACGAATATTTTTGCCTATGTTTTAGCAACATCTGCTTGCCAACCCTTTGCCATGCCAAAAAATCTGGTTCATCTAAAAAGAAATATTGTTCATCTAGCTGAATATTCTTAGAGTGCCCCTATCGATGCTGGAGACCATGCTTGCGTGTGCGTGTCAGTGTGCTCCTGATGCTATTGATGCTGTGTTTGTGTGAGATTGTGTGATGTGCAAGACTGCAGGCAACCACGCACCACCATGGCACAATGCACCAAGCAACAGCCTTGCCACTGGTTGCGTGAAGGCAGAAAGCATGAACATGTTCCTTGTGCTGCATGCAGGTCAATAGACAGCACACAAGCACAGTACGCAGCAGTTGAGCATGCACAGTACAATATGTGGGTCATGGAATGTGCGTCCTGAATGTTTGCACTAAATATGTGATGTGATATGCCGGCTTAAATTCCCAGTTACCAAAATGTTGCTATTGTATTTTCGTTCGTACTTCCGCTCTGGCTTTCCTACTTCCGCTCTCGCAACCGGTAGAAAAATACAGTAACAGAAACAGAGGGTGTTTTCCACATGCTTCCATCCATTTTCATCCTACCTCGCCCATACGATCGTCCTACATACTCTTGCCATGCCCACGCACAATGCCCAGTACAAGTATACAGTAGTAGTGACCATAGGACAGAGAAGATGACGTGTGCGTGTGTTTCTAAATCACTAATAAGGTAGCAATGCTATACATGACTGGGTGAAGTCGGCCCCGTTCGGCTTGTTCGGCTTCTTTTTTCAGCCGAAACAGTATTTTTCTCTCACAACATTTCAGCCAGAACAATGTTTTTCAGCCAAGATTCAGCAAGCCGAACGGGGGACTATGGTCTATGGGTACCTCTGAAGATACTACTACCACCATATAAGCTACTACTTTTTTACTTCTTTTATCTCAAAGTTAGATTTGTTCGTATGTGACATAATAGAGCCATATCTGTTGACACTTAAATTAGCCCTACGTCAATTTTAAGAGGCCCATGATTAGCTTTGTCCAATCTAAGAAAAACTCTATAAAGTGACATAATAATAATACCACATTAGTTTTTTTAATAGGATAAGACCACCCCTACTCCCTATAAAATAGAGGATACATGGTCGATTGAAGTATCCAATATCCGATCGTCAAAATACAACACATACCTTATCTCTTCCGACCCCTGCTATTCATCTTGATCCGACGACCAAGGATGACGCCCTAAGCTTGTTGGTCAACCTAGGACAACCTGACAATGTCTTTTCCCCAACGGGGTCCCTCCCGAGTTAGAGCTTTGGTGGCTCCTTTGCTAATTTGCATGGAAACTAGTCTTTTTCGTCACGTAACCACGTTTGTTTATCCTTCGGTGGTTCTCTGTTCCTCACTACGTAAGTGTGATCCTTGCTGCGCTCTTCGATCCGTGGCGATCCGGGCGAAAACAAAACTAGGATATTGGGCAGGTTACAAATATGCTTAGTTCTCCTTAGCTGGTGTGATCCAATTCGACTTCAACAAAATCTAGTGGGCGCGTTGGGCGTGGCCTTCACCAGGGTCGGGGTCTCGGGGACGAGACACGAAGGTAACAAAGTTTCACGTTGCAGGCACCAGGTCGGGGACGAGACACGAAGATAACGAAGTTTCACGTTGGAGGCACCAGGGTCGGGGACGAGACACGAAGGTTCACGTTGCAGGTTCTAGTTGAGTACCTGCAAATTTGGGACTCGGTGGAACCTGCAGTGCTCAATCGAGACGCGTCGGATCGCTTCATCTGTTTTGGTCATCTTCCCAATCCAGACAATTCGAGTCCATGTAAAATTTTACAGGCATTAAAAGTTAAAACTAGGTTTCCAAACAGGCTCGATGACGTTAAAATACACGGTAAAAAAATGCAGAAAATTTTAGGGAATAAATATTTGCAACCTTCCAAGGTACAAGGTACAAACTTTAAGTCATTATTAGGAGTTACAATTTACAAGCTTCAGTAGCATATATTGAACAGCATACAGCGACCACAAAACAAAACACCCGCGCGGCTCCAGAGTATCTTGTCAGCAACCTTTTCGTCATGTGGTCATTTTGGCAGAAAATCGTCTTGTTTCTCTATCATCTAACAGCCAGAATGTAAAAGTCCAACATCGGCCACTATTATACAAGTCATTTCCAGAGCTTGAGAGTCCTATCATGGCTTACTGAGGCAACCTTCCCCGTTGCACTGGATGCTGCCAGGGCTGCAACCAAACCGTCATGCGCATTGTTGAAGGTCATGGTGTTCTTCTCCCTTATGTCCCAAAGTTCCAAAGACTGCATAAACATAACATAAAACAAAAGAAAAGTTAAATCCATCTCCCTGAAAAAGGACTATGATTATACTCCCAAAACTATTAACTGGGTTACACAAAACTTGAGAAACTTACCTCATAACAACCAATCACTAGCAATGATTGATAAGTTGGGTGGAAAACACATGAGTGGAATTGATTTCCGCTGCGATTCAATTCGTGCACAAATTCACCATCACGTCCAGAACTGAATGACCATATTCTGACCGAGTCTTCACTGACAGAAGCCAGATATTCACCAGCAGAATCCCAACAAAGCGATTGAATATTCTTACTGTGCCCCTGCACATTTGAGAACAAACCTTTACAGTTAGATACTCAGTTTTGTTGCCAAAAGCAAAACAGATCCCATTTTAAATCAAATGAATTTTTTTCGAAAACCTAAATCAAATGAAATTCAGCATCATAAAACTAGCATGGCTAAAAGCTTAGTGCACCAAGCTAGTGGAACTCGAGAAATTTTAACGAACCTATTCTTGTTTCAACACCATGTACCAGAATCAAGAATGGCCATCACAGTCGGAGGTATATAGATTTTGCTATGCATCTAGATATTCGCTATGGCTGGATACATTGTAAAAAACTATTTATCTAGAAAAGCCAAAACG